ATGTGAATCTGGACATTACTGGGTGCGACTTCCGTGGAAGCTCGACCGTCCAGAATTACCTACTAATTATAGGATGGCGTATGGACAGTTAAAGGGCCCAGCTCTGCGAACTGAGCAAGACACCAAAATTGTTGACTGCTTATAATGATATAATTAATAAACAGTTAAATAATAAATTGTTCTTACTTCAGGCGACGATAAATGCACACCTTAAGTGCACAGGTGGTCCACTGAGTGAAGTAATTGGGTAAATAATCTTATGTGGACAATTTCCGGGTGTCACGTCAACTGAAGAGGAACTAATGAGGATATATGAAGGGGTTAATGAAATAATGCAGTAATGTGCTGGGACTGACTTGGGACACTGAGAGAGACTTGTTATTGTTAAAGTCTCATAATTCCAGTATGCCCAATAAATTAACCCAGGGAGCATAGGCTTATGCCCCTGAGAGAATGGAACAGTAATTAGTCCATTTTGAGGGATCAATAAATATGGATGGCCATGGAGTTGAAGTGCCTATATGCAGTAATGTGCTGGGGCTGACTTGGGATACTGAGAGAGACTCGTTATTGTTAAAGTCTTATAATTCCAGTATGCCCAACAAATTAACCCAGAGAGCATAGGCTTAGTGTCACACCTTACAATAAGAGGGAAATTGTTAATACCAGAAGCATGGAGGCTTGAGTGTGCTTTGGATGGAGCCCTACCTGAGGAGTTAACAGGTGGAAAGAATTAATGGGTGATTATGTAAATACCAATGTTGGAGTTCCCAAGCCAGGTAGCCAGTGAAGATGGGAAAATTGTACTTCACATTATGTAAGTCGTCTAGCAACGACCTCCGCCCAGCCGCAGTGTGGAAAATATTTTAATTTTCCGAAACTATAGTGCCTAATAGGTGTTTAATGTGTCAATATGGGTCAAAAATGCATTTGAAAATAGGATAGAACCAGGAGTTCCCTTTGCGCATGCGCGGATGTGCGGGGGTAGAGGTCGACTCGGGGCATGGGGGAGGCGGGAGTGTTTTGAATGTAGTGAGGAGGCTGGGAAAGCATGGAACCAGGAAATTGGCGTTCACGGCGGCCTAAGGATTAATATAGGCCTCATTTCATAATAGGAAGTGTCGTAACTGTTCCTGGTGGAGAGTGAGGGAACGTGATTTATGGGACCACCGTAATAGAGTGGTAAAATGAGTGAATAAGGGTAGGACCGGGTGACTGGCGCATTGCCATGGACTGTGTCCCGGGGAAAATTACCCTTGGTTTAATCATCACTCATCGGTCTCAGATCTTAATGGAGTGATCTCTAATGTGTATAATAATTATGAGACATTAAACCGTCTTGTAAATTGTAATGTAATTAATGATAATAACGCTAAGTTAAGAGAATGCGTGAAGTGAAATAAGTCGCCTTGCTCCGAGTGAACACGCTAGACCACGTTGTTCCCGTCATGAGGAAAGTGAAGTTCATTGAGTCACGACTTCTAAACCGGGACAAACCAACGGATACCTCGTCCTGCTGGAATAAGAACCATGTCGGTGTAGCAGGACATCGAAATGAGATGGTGAATGGAGGAAATAAGGAGTATCAATCACCCACAGTTAAGTAACTCTTCTAGTTATAGCAGACTGATACTGGCCAGTTAGGTATGTTGTAATTGGATAGGTTATGGGTGATCCAGCTACATCAAGTGACCCCCAGAGAATATCTGGTAAGTGGTGGGATTATATACAAGTGTTTTTCCTTGATGGATATATCCATGTGTAACCTACCCCCCCCCCCTTCATTCAGTTAAACTAATATAATCTATACAGTCCACAATTAATTAGTAGCGCCGTACTTGAGGGTGCTACCCAATTTATACTGGTCTCGGATAGATATGGATAAGATTGTGAGGGTCGAGGGGCCACCTGCAGTGACCAGAGGTGGTTAAGTTTTCTCACATGTCTACACTGGTGACTACGGTAAACAATATTGTTGTTGTCTCCCAATGAGTTTACTTGTATGCATGTAATGTTGAGGTACATAAAGGTAATCACCCCTATAAAATTTTCCACAGTCCCTTTATATAAAGGGAAGGGGAACAAAAGAGATTGTAAAAATTATAGAGGAATAAGTTTACTGAGTATACCAGGAAAAGTGTATGGTAGGGTTATTTTTGAAAGAATTAGAGGTAAGACAGAATGTAGACTTGCAGATGAGCAAGGAGGTTTTAGAGTGGGTAGGAGATGTGTAGATCAAGTGTTTACATTGAAGCATATATGTGAGCAGTATTTAGATAAAGGTAGGGAAGTTTTTATTGCATTTATGGATTTAGAAAAGGCATATGATAGAGTGGATAGAGAAGCAATGTGGCAGATGTTGCAAGTATATGGAATAGGTGGTAAGTTACTAAATGCTGTGAAGAGTTTGTATGAGGATAGTGAAGCTCAGGTTAGGGTGTGTAGAAGAGAGGGAGACTACTTCCCAGTAAAAGTAGGTCTTAGGAATGTGTAATGTCACCATGGTTGTTTAATATATTTATAGATGGGGTTGTAAAAGAAGTAAATGCTAGGGTGTTCGGGAGAGGGGTGGAATTAAATTATGGGGAATTAAATACAAAATGGGAAGACCCAGTTACTTTTTGCTGATGATACTGTGCTTATGAGAGATTCTAAAGAAAAATTGCAAAGGTTAGTGGACGAATTTGGGAGTGTGTGCAAAGGTAGAAAGTGGAAAGTGAACATAGAAAAGAGTAAGATGATGAGAGTATCAAATGATTTAGATAAAGAAAAATTTGATATCAAATTGGGGAGGAGAAGTATGGAAGAAGTAAATGTTTTCAGATATTTGGGAGTTGACGTGTCAGCGAATGGATTTATGAAGGATGAGGTTAATCATAGAATTGATGAAGGAAAAAAGGTGAGTGGTGCATTGAGGTATATATGTGGAGGCAAAAAATGTTATCTAAGGAGGCAAAGAAGGGAATGTATGAAAGTATAGTAGTACCAACACTCTTATATGGGTGTGAAGCTTGGGTTGTAAATGCTGCAGCGAGGAGGCGTTTGGAGGCAGTGGAGATCTCCTGTCTAAGGGCAATGTGTGGTGTAAATACAGTATTATGCAGAAAATTCGGAGTGTGGAAATTAGGTGTGGAGTTAATAAAAGTATTAGTCAGAGGGCTGAAGAGGGGTTGTTGAGGTGGTTTGGTCATTTACAGAGAATGGATCAAAGTAGAATGACATGGAGAGCATATAAATCTGTAGGGGAAGGAAGGCGGGGTAGGGGTCGTCCTCGAAAAGGTTGGAGGGAGGGGGTAAAGGAGGTGTTGTGGACGAGGGGTTGGGACTTCCAGCTAGCGCGTCGTGAGCGTGTTAGATAGGCGTGAACGGAGACAAATGGTTTTTGGGACCTGACGAGCTGTTGGAGTGTGAGCAGAGTAATATTTAGTGAAGGGATTCAGGGAAACCGGTTATTTTATATAACCGGACTTGAGTCCTGGAAATGGGAAGTACAATGCCTGCACTCTAAAGGAGGGGTTTAAGATATTGGCAGTTTGGAGGGATATACATGTATTGTGTATTTTTATACGTATATACTTCTAAACTGTTGTATTCTGGGCACCTCTGCAAAAACAGTGATTATGTGTGAGTGAGGTGAATGTGTTGAATGATGAAAGTATTTTCTTTTTGGGGATTTTCTTTCTTTTTGGGTCACCCTGCCTCGGTGGGAGACTACCGACTTGTTGAAAATATATATATACATGTATATATATATATATATATATAATATATATAATATATATATATATATATATATATATATATATATATATATATATATATATATATATATATAGATGGGGTTGTAAGAGAAGTGAATGCTTGGGTGTTCGCAAGAGGTGTGGGGGTTAAAAGATAATCTAACACAAAGTGGGAGTTGTCACAGTTGCTCTTTGCTGATGACACTACTTTTGGGAGATTCTGAAGAGAAGTTGCAGGGGTTGGTGGATGAGTATGGTAGGGTATGTAAAAAAAATAGGTAACAAAAGATTGGATATCAGATTGGAGGGAAAGAGTATGGAGGAGGTGAATGTATTAAGATATTTAGGAGTGGACATGTCAGCAGATGGGGCTATGAAAGATGTGGTAAATCATAGAATTGATGAGAAAAAGGTGAGTGGTGTACTTAGGAGTCTGTGGAGACAAAGAACTTTGTCCATGGAAGCAAAGTGGGGAATGTATGAGAGTATGGGTATACCAACACTCTTATATGGGTGTGAAGCATGGGCGGTGAATGTTGCAAGAAGGAGAAGGCTGGAAGCAGTGGATATGTCATGTATGAGGGCAATATGTGTTGTGAATATAATGCAGAGAATTCATAGTTTGGAAATTAGAAGGAGGTTCGGGACTACCAAAACTATTATCCAGCGGGCTGAGGAGGGGTTGATGTGGTTCAGACATGTAGAGAAGCTGGAACAAAATAGAATGACTTCGAGAGTGTATAAATCTGTGGTGGAGGGAAGACAGGGTAGGGGTCGGCCTAGGAAAGGTTGGAGGGAGGGAGTAAAGGAGGTTTTGTGTGCGAGGGGCTTGGACTTCCAGCAAGCATGCGTGAGCGTGTTAGATAGGAGCAAATGATGGCAAATGCTCTTTAGGACTTGATGTGCTGTTGGAGTATGAGCAAGGTAACATTTATGAAGGGATTCTGGGAAGCCGCAAGCCAGACTTGAGTCTTGAGATGGGAATCACAGTGCCTGCACTCTGAAGGAGGGGTGTTAATGTTACAGTTTTATAACTATAGTGTAAGCATGCCTCTGGCAAGACAGTGATGGAGTGAATGATGATGAAAGTTTTTCTTTTTTGGGCCACCCTGTCTTGGTGGGAGATGGCCGATATGTTAATAAAAAAATAACATTGGAGAAGACAGTTTTGAGATAATCAGTCCCTCAGCCTTGACATTAGTGGTCAGTCCCTCTATTTGATGGTACTATATACTATCAGTAATATGAAAATAGACTCACTTTGAATCTGAGGAGGTTGTGTTGAGACTTGATGAGGAGTACCATGAAGACTCTCTGGCAGAAGGGACAGGCTCCCATCCTCTCCCCGTCGACGCCAGCCTTCACATAGACAGTGACCTCCTCCCGGGCTCGTGTAGTGGGTCCCACCACCACCACTGAGGGCTGGCCCACGCTACCCATGACTTTACCTCTGTCCTCCTGCGCCTACTGACCTCTGTCTTCTGCCGTGGCCACTTTCTGGCCTCTCTTCGCTTCCAATAAATGCCTCTGAAATGTTTAATATGGAATCAGTGAGTCACCATAGTGATGAATGACCCATATGGGTTTAGAGTTTGTAAAGAATAAGTTGCATAACATTTAATTACCCACACAGATGTAGAGCTTCGTTTGTAATAAAGTATGAAATATTAAATGACTTTTTTAACACAACCGTCTCCCACTAAGGGTATCTTCCCCCCAAAACAAAGTAAATACAATCAACGCCCCTTTGCCAGAAGTGTGCTGACATCACAGTTCAGATGACCCCCTCCTTCAGGGTGCAGGGAACTGTGCTTCCCATCCCTAGGATTCGAATCTGGTTAACCGGTTTTTCCCTGAAACCCTCTATAAACGTTAGCTTGTTTGCACCTAGCCGTAAGTAGGTACCTGAGTGTTAGTCGACTGGTGTGGGTCGCATCCTGGGGGACAAGATTAAAGGACCCCAATGGAAATACGACAGACAGCTTTAGATGACGCACAGACTTTCTTGGGTTATCCTAGGTGGCTAACCCTCCAGGGTTAAAAATCCGAACAAATCATATCACAGGAACTTCCTGGATGTTCAAGCCTCTAGAACTTATGGTGAAATAAATATTTAGGGGCATTAATGTTTCACTAAGAAGTTCCCTCAGAGAAAGTGCTTTCATGCTGGTGAAGGGCTCTCGAACCAAGTATCTGGATTAACCTCATCTTCCTTGGAGCAAGTCTGAATGACTCTCATTCACCAGGTGTCATATGACCCTATTAGCATTGGAGTGTCGTACAAATATTGCTAGAATAAACAAATGACACTATAAGCTTGTTGATAAAGCTGAAGTATGAATATTAATGAAAATTTTTATTGATTTATAATTCAGTGGAATTATTCTTGACTTCCGAGCAAATTATCAATAACTTTGCTGTAAAATTATGGCTTGCATGAAGGAGTATACATTAATTATTATAATAATTATTATTATTATTATTATTATTATTATTATTATTATTGTATTATTATTAAACACTGCATCTCACCGCAGTAGGATGAGTCACATTAGACCCACCTGGTCCAGTGGTCAACGCACTGGCCTGTAAGTTTTAAGATTCATCTGCTTTGGGTTCAAACCCCACCTGTTTTGCGATCTGGGCATTCAGTTTTATCTGTGGTTCTGACACAGCTCTGTGAGTACAGTATTCTACATTAATGATTCTCTCAGTGTATGTTGTATCCCATTACATAATGATTCTCTCAGTGTATGTTGTATCCCATTACATCACTTTATCAATACATTCCTCCTGGCCACCAAACACCAGTGAACTACGTAAACTTCTGGGCTTTGGTTTCCCTGTTTCGCTGTATGGCCCTCGTGGGTTTAGCGCTTCTTTTGATTATAATAATAATGGGCTTTGGTTTAGAGAGACACGTAAGCAAACACTAGGACATATTTATCAGAAAACGCTTCGGTCCTGGACCTTGGTCACGTCTAACACATACAGGTTAAAAAAACAAAAAACAGTATATAAAGGTGGATAGTGGGTGTCACACCCCACTCTCCGCGCATAAGATAAGATAAGATTTCGTTCGGATTTTTAACCCCGGAGGGTTAGCCACCCAGGATAACCCAAGAAAGTCAGTGCGTCATCGAGGACTGTCTAACTTATTTCCATTGGGGTCCTTAATCGTCCCCCAGGATGCGACCCACACCAGTCGACTAACACCCAGGTACCTATTTGCTGCTAGGTGAACAGGACAACAGGTGTAAGGAAACGTGTCGAAATGTTTCCACCCGCCGGGAATCGAACCCGGGCCCTCCGTGTGTGAAGCGGGAGCTTTAGCCACCAGGCCACCGGGCCTGTATATGTCGTACCCAATAGTCAGAACTTGCGATCTTGGCTTAATAGCAACGCTCATCTTGCCATATAGGACAAGTGAAAAATTGTGTATGCAATAATTTCGCCAATATCATTCTGAACCTAACGACAAAAATATATTTCACTGTGTTTGTTTAGTATTAAATTATTGTAAACAAATCTGAAACATATTTAGTTGGGTTAGGCTAAAATAAATTGCGCTTTTTATGATAAGGTTAGGTAAGTTTTCTAAGTTCCTATTGGTGCAAAATTAAAAATTTTTTACATCAACATTAATGAAAAAAATATATCTTAAACGTTTTTTTTTTTTTTTTTTATTATCACACTGGCCGATTCCCACCAAGCAGGGGCCCGAAAAAAAAACTTTTCACCATCATTTCGCTCCATCACTGTCTTGCCAGAAGGGTGCTTTACACTACAGTTTTTAAACTGCAACATTAACACCCCTCCTTCAGAGTGCAGGCACTGTACTTCCCATCTCCAGGACTCAAATCCGGCCTGCCGGTTTCCTGAATCCCTTCATAAATGTTACTTTGCTCACACTCCAACAGCACGTCAAGTATTAAAAACCATTTGTCTCCATTCACTCCTATCAAACCACGCTCACGCATGCCTGCTGGAAGTCCAAGCCCCTCGCACACAAAACCTCCTTTACCCCTCCCTCCAACCCTTCCTAGGCCGACCCCTACCCCGCCTTCCTCCACTACAGACTGATACACTCTTGAAGTCATTCTGTTCGCTCCATTCTCTCTACATGTCCGAACCACCTCAACAACCCTCCTCAGCCCTCTGGACAACAGTTTTGGTAATCCCGCACCTCCTCCTAACTTCCAAACTACGAATTCTCTGCATTATATTCCACACCACACATTGCCCTCGACATGACATCTCCACTGCCTCCAGCCTTCTCCTCGCTGCAACATTCATCACCCCCCTTCACACCCATATAAGAGCGTTGTAAAACTATATCTCATACATTCCCCTCTTTGCCTCCAAGGACAAAGTTCTTTGTCTCCACAGACTCCTAAGTGCACCACTCACTCTTTTTCCCTCATCAATTCTATGATTCACCTCATCTTTCATAGACCCATCCGCTGACAAAGTCCACTCCCAAATATCTGAATACATTCACCTCCTCCATACTCTCTCCCTCCAATCGATATCCAATCTTTCATCACCTAATCTTTTTGTTATCCTCATAACCTTACTCTTTCCTGTATTCACCTTTAATTTTCTTCTTTTGCACACCCTACCAAATTCATCCACCAATCTCTGCAGCTTCTCTTCAGAATCTCCCAAGAGCACAGTGTCATCAGCAAAGAGCAGCTGTGACAACTCCCACTTTGTGTGTGATTCTTTATCTTTTAACTCCACGCCTCTGCCAAGACCCTCGCATTTACTTCTCTTACAACCCCATCTATAAATATATTAAACAACCACGGTGACATCACACATCCTTGTCTAAGGCCTACTTTTACTGGGAAAAAATTTCCCTCTTTCCTACATACTCTACTTGAGCCTCACTATCCTCGTAAAAACTCTTCACTGCTTTCAGCAACCTACCTCCTACACCATACACTTGCAACATCTGCCACATTGCCCCCCTATCCACCCTGTCATACGCCTTTTCCAAATCCATAAATGCCACAAAGACCTCTTTAGCCTTATCTAAATACTGTTCACTTATATGTTTCACTGTAAACACCTGGTCCACACACCCCCTACCTTTCCTAAAGCCTCCTTGTTCATCTGCTATCCTATTCTCCGTCTTACTCTTAATTCTTTCAATTATAACTCTACCATACACTTTACCAGGTACACTCAACAGACTTATCCCCCTATAATTTTTGCACTCTCTTTTATCCCCTTTGCCTTTATACAAAGGAACTATGCATGCTCTCTGCCAATCCCTAGGTACCTTACCCTCTTCCATACATTTATTAAATAATTGCACCAACCACTCCAAAACTATATCCCCACCTGCTTTTAACATTTCTATCTTTATCCCATCAATCCCGGCTGCCTTACCCCCTTTCATTTTAAACGTATAAGATAAAATTTTAGAAAGGACTTAATTTTAAATGAGTTCTTGCTAATTGACCAGTTTTACATATTCGGCACGACATATATATATATATATATAAAATATATATATATATATATATATATATATATATATATATATATATATATATATTATTAATCTCTAATGGTTATATAACCATATTTTTTTAAAGGGGAGAACTGGTGAGCCAGCAGAAGGCCTCGATCAGATGACCAAAGGTTCAGGCTGCGGGTCATCATATGACTAAGACCCGCGTCAGGAAAGAACTGTCCTGTTTCCTGACAAACCTGACCAACCTAACTTGTGTATGTTAGAAGTCAAGGTCCCGGGACCGAAACGTTTTCTGATAAATATGTCTTAGTGTTTCCTCACGTATCTTTCTAAACCAATGTGTCGGTATCTAATACCAAGGTTGATACCTCTAGACTTTATAATACAGAGTATGTATATGGAGATATGTATGACTCTCAGTGTATATACGCTGAGAGCATAATTTAATCCTTTTACGGGTAATTCCCCTCAAGGAAGGTTCCTTGATGTTGGTGAGGGGCTCTTGATTTAGGGAACTGGATCTCTGCTCCAGTTCCCCGAATTAAGCCTGAATGCCTTCCCCCCCCCAGGCACTGTATAATCCTCCGGGTTTAGCGCTTCCCCCTTGATTATAATAATAATAATAATAATTTACGGGTAACTTGACTCGCGATTATTTCGATACTGTGCAGTGATACACAACCTTACCTCGTGTAGACTAAGAATTTATACGTCATAAACCAAGCAGCTTTAAGGCGTTATCAATAGATCAAAAGCGTCCGCTGTATAGCCCTTGTGGCTTAGCGCTTCTTTTTTATTATAATAATCAAAAGCGTCCACAGACGGTACAACAAACAAGTACTTGTTAGCTGACAGTTTGTCATATTACGTCACCTTCACTGCTTTGACACCGTCGCTGTTTTCATTGACATACCCACATTAAATATGTTAATTATATTTACATTGTATTTTTGTTTTTATTATTACAGTTTTTACTTCCTTATTACATCCCTCACATACTTTACCATCTTTTCGACCACAACATAAACTTATTCTAATCATGTCGCTCCCTGGTGCCGCAACATTACATCCTGGAGTTTACTTAAAGAGGGTTTCGGGGGTCAACGCCCCCGCGGCTCGGTCTAAGATTAGACCTCGTGGTGGATCAGGGTCTGATCAACCAGGCTGGTACTGCTGACCGCACGCAAATTGACGTACGAACCACAGCCCGGCTGGTCAGGTACTGACTTTAGGTGCCTGTCCAGTGGCTTCTTGAAGACAGCCAGGGGTCTATTGGTAATCCCCCTTATGTATGCTGGGAGGCAGCTGAACAGTCTTGGGCCCCGGACACTTATTGTGTTGTCTCTCAGTGTACTCGTGGGGCCCTGCTTTTCGTTGGGGGAATGTTGCATCTCCTGCCGAGTCTTTTGCTTTCATAAGAAGTGATTTTCGTGTGCAAGTTTGGTACTAATCCCTCTAGGATTTTCCAAGTGTATATTATCATGTATCTCTCGCCTGCGCTCCAGGGAATACAGATCAAGGGCCTTCAACCGTTCCCAGTAGTTCAGGTACCTTATCGTACTTATGTGTGCCGTGAAAGTTCTTTGTACATTCTCCAGGTCAGGATTAATGTGTATTTTTAGAAAGTCATCATGGAGAATTTTATTTATAAAAAAAGGACTTATTGAACGAGACTCTACAACTTCCTAGAGGTATCTCAGGGCTGCTCTTCAGTGTGTGGGTGAGGCTGCCAGAAAGAACAACCTGCTTGACCTGGTGCTGGCAATCAGATAAAGCCTGATAAATAATCTAGAGATCACGAAAAGCTCGGAGAGAGCTGTCACAAATCTATTTCTTTAAATATTTCCTAGAAATATGACGGTAAAGAAAATACAGTTAAGTACCAGATATTCACTTTGCAGACAAACTTGGTTTGGGCAACATCTAGCTACTAGGTATAGCGGGTAACCTGACCAGTGATCACTTCGATACGGTGCTGTCAAAAAGTAAATCGGAGGTCTGCCAACGTTTTTTCCAAAAATGTTGTCCCCTCAAGGGAGGTTCCTTGACGCTGGTGAGAGGCTCTCGATCTAGGGAATTGGATCTGTGCTCCAGTTCGCTGGATTGAGCCTGTATGCCATCCATCCCCCCCACAGGCGCTGTATAATCCTACGGGTTTAGCGCTCCCCCATGATTATAATAATCCAAAATGTTGTACAAACTTCTGAAGCAATATACATAACCTAGACCCAATCACACAAAAATCCCCCTGAATAGGAAAGCAAGAGATAAAAAAAAAACAGGATGAATACGGCATATCAGCGGAGAAGCAGCTTATAAACCGTATGGCAGGAGAGGTGCAGCAGTCATAGGTCGTGTCACATTTGTTCAATGTGGAAGTAGGTCGTGCCCAAGAATTAGGCAAGCGAAGAATTCCTAAGTATTAAGATCCCAAGATCCTATTAAGATCCTATGAATGCTGCACCTCTCCTGCCATACGGTTTATAAGCTGCTGCTCCGCTGATATGCCGTATTCTATTCAAGATTGATGGACTGAACACATCGACTCAAGGTTGAGGGACTGATTACCTCATTCTCCTCCTGTTCTTCAAGTTTCTCCTACGTATGGACTGATGAAGCCACTGTGTGGCGAAACGTTTCCTCAGTAAAGATACCCAAGAGTTGCACATGTGTCTAATTTATCAACAAAATTTTCTATTTTCTTTTATTGGCTGTATGACCCTTGCGGTTTAGTGCTTCTTTTGATTATAATAAATAATTCTTTTTTATTTACCCTTGTGGGTTTATCGCATAGTTATGATTATATTAATTTTCTTTTCTGTCGTTATAATTCTTGTTTCTTCACTGTACACACTCCGAATGTGACTTAACAATGGTCCAGGACGAACCCGAAATGTTATAATAAGCTTCCTCTCCTGAGCGAGTTTTTGGTGAAGTGTTCCAGCCACGGTATTGTGACTTTATTCTTCAGGGAGAATCCATGAAAAAAAAAATTTTCTTTGCAAAGGTTATAATGTTTGATTTACATTTTATGAAGTGTTGTTAAGTACAAAGAAAGACACTAACATGCCGGGGCATTTCGGGCATGGTTTAATTAGGTGTAGAGAGGGGCCAAGGGGTGTAGAGAGGGACCAAGGGGTGTAGAGAGGGACCAAGGGGTGTAGAGAGGGACCAAGGGGTGTAGAGAGGGGCCAAGGGGTGTAGAGAAGGACCAAAGGGTGTGTAGAGGGGGCCCAAGGGGTGTAGAGAGGGACCAAGGGGTGTAAAAGAGGGGCCAAGGGGTGTAGAGAGGGGCCAAGGGGAGTACAGAGGGGCCACGGGGGGCTGAAAAGAAAAACTTAAATTTCAGAAAACCAGGAAACAAGCAGGAGTGTTAGAAGTGAATACTCAAGAAGAAAACTCAAACCCAGTTTGGAAATAAAAGAGCGTCAAAGGCCTAGTATTCTCAAAAGCGGGACGAGGAGCTGAGTCTCGACCCTTATTAACACAGCTCATTGCACACACACACACACACACACACACACACACACACACACACACAACACACACACACACACACACACATAACAGGAAAGGCACTGCAAGGATCAGAGATATCTGACAGGGAGGCAACAACGAGTCATGGTACGCGACGAGGTGTCAGAGTGGGCGCCTGTGACAAGCGGGGTTCCACAGGGGTCAGTCCTAGGACCTGTGCTGTTCTTGGTATACGTGAACGACATAACGGAAGGGATAGACTCAGAAGTGTCCTTGTTTGCAGATGATGTGAAAATTAAAAGAGAAGAATCAAATCGGACGAGGAAACAGGGAGGATACAAAGAGACCGGACAGGCTACAAGCCCGGTCCAGCAACTGGCTCCTTGAATTAACCCCGCCAAATGCAAAAGTCATGAAGATTGGGGAAGGGCAAGAAGACCGCAGACACAATATAGTTTAATGGCCAAAGACTGCCAAACCCCACTCAAGAAAAAAGATCTGGGGGTGAGTATAAACACCGAGCATATCTCTGAGGCGCACATCAATCAGATAACTGCTGCAGCATAAAGGGCGCCTGGCAAACCTACGGAAAGCGTTTCCGATACCTCAGTAAGGATTCGTTTAAGACTCTGTATACCATCTACGTCAGGCCAATACTGGAGTATGCAGCACCATTTGGAATCCACACCTAGTCAAGCACCTCAAGAAATTAGAGAAAATGCAAAGGTTTGCAACAAGACTAGTCCCAGAGCTACGGGGATGGTCCTATGAAGAAAGGTTGAGGGAAATCGGCCTGACGACACTGGAGGCCAGGAGGGTCAGGGGAGACATGATAACGAAAATATAAAATACTGCGCGGAAATAGACGAGGTGGACAAAGACGGGATGTTCCAGAGATGGGACCAGACACAAGAGGTCACAATTGGAAGTTGAAGACTCAGATGAATCAAAGGGATGTTAGGAAGTATTTCTTCAGTCATAGAGTAGTCAGGCCATGGAATAGCCTAGAAAGTGATGTGGTGGAGGCAGGAACCATACATAGTTTTAAGGCGAGGTATGATAGAGCTCATGGGGCAGGGAGAGAGAGGACCTAGTAGCAATCAGCGAAGAGGCGGGGCCAGGAGCTGTGAATCGACCCCTGCAACCACAAATAGGTGAGTACACACACACACACACACACAAACTGGTATTAAGACTGATGAATACTCATCAGTTTGTCGGTACTGTATATAATACTGTCATAGTATTAGGTTAGTTGTGCCGCCTAAGCGGCTATTGCTGTGTATTCTACGCTCAGGATTACAGAGGTTACAATGGTCCTCTGTCAGACCCCTGAGCATTGCTACATTGCTAGAAAGAAATATTAGTCATTTTGTATTTTACAGTTACTTCATATAATTGTAAGTAGAGTACAGTAAAGAATACAATCTCAAAAAACCTGCTCTATTGCAACTAAAGAGACAAAAACTTAAAAAAAAAAAAATAGTCATTTGGACTACCATCCTTCGTGACTCACCATCCTTATGAAGACGAGGGAGAACAACAATAACTTGCAGATTAATGAGCTTTTATCCTGATTATTAAGCCGGAGGGTTGGTAACCCAGGATATACCTAAAAACTCGGTCATTCTGGTTTATTTGCACTGGAGTAAGGAAAATTACCAATAGACCCCTGGCTGCCTCCACGAGGAAGCTGGACAGATACCTAAAGTCAGTACCTGATGAGCCGGGCTGTGGTTCGTACGTTGGCCTACGTGCGGCCAGCAGTAACAACCTGGTTGATCAGGCCCTGATCCACCGGGAGGCCTGGTCAGAGACTGGGCCGCGGGGGCGTTGACCTCCGGAACACCCTCCAGGTAGGATCCATTCATCCTCTCCCCCAGGATGCAACCCACAACAGTTGGCTAACACTCGGGTGCCTACTTACAGCTAGATGAACAAGGGTAACAGGTGCAAGGAAGCATACCCGTTTCCACTCGTCTCGAGTTCAAACCCAGCACCTGCGGATGTGAGTCGACAGAGCTACCACTTGAGCCACAAGCCACTCAAAGAGACTGACCTGGGAATCAAACCCGGGTACATGTAGTTGTTGTATTTCGTTGAAATAAAAAAAAATATTCGTTTTCACGCTTTTTCTGTTCTCCAACGGTTATATACCTTTGTATACCTTTGAAGAATTTCGAGAGTATATCTTCTCTCTGAGCCGGCATGGGGCCAGGTCTGTCTGGTGCTGCCTGGTCAACCAGGCTGTTGCTGCTGGAGGCCCGCTGCCCCACATATCCATCACAGCCTGGTTGATCTGGCACCTGGTGAAGATACTTGTCTAGTTTCCTCTTGAAGGCTTCAACACTTGTTCCCCCGCACACACTCGCACCACGGTGGTCTGGGGGCTAAAAACTCCCGCTTCACACACGGAGGGCCCGGGTTCGATTCCCGGCGGGTGGAAATTTCCGACACGTTTCCTTACACCTATTGTCCTGTTCACCTAGCAGCAAATAGGTACCTGGGTTGTTAGTCGGACTGGTGTGGAGTCGCTTCCTGGGGGACCCCCCCCCCCAAGATTAGGACCCCATTGGAAATAAGTTTTAAACAGTCCTCGACGACGCACTGGACTTTCTTGGGTTATCCTGTGGTGGCTATAGCCCTCGGGGTTAATAATCCGAACGAAAATCTTATTTATCTCTATCTTATCTTCTCCCAACGTTTCGAGGCTTAACGAGATGAACACACAAGGTCTCGTCTGTGAGGATTAACGTTTTTAAACTTTTGGTTACTCCATCTGGATCATCAGGGTGTATTCGACACAAGAATGAATGGGATTTATTTGTTCCATTACCTGTGGGGAAAATTTTTAATTTTCTGTCCGGAAAAACTATTGATGCGCCTAATAGGTGTTTATGTGCCGATTGGAGGTCAAAATGTATTTGAAATGGAGTAGAACAAGAGTTCCCTTGGCGCTTGCGCGGATGTGCGGGGGAGGCGGTGGGGCGCGTATTGTTTTTGAATGGTGATGAGGAAGCTGAGGGAAAAACACGGAACACGAAATTTGACGTTCACGGTGGACCTAAGGGATTAATATAGGCTCATTTCATAATAAGAAGTGTCGTTAGTGTCCTGGTGAGAGAGTGAGGAACGGGATTTACGAGGCACAGTTAATAAGAGTGGCCTCTTTAAAAAAGTGTGATAAAAGAAGGAGCGGGGACTGACGCGTCACAATAGACTGTGTCCTGGGGAAAAATTACCCTTGGATTAATCATCACTCATCGGTCTCAGATCTTAATGGAGTGACCTCTAGTTTGTATAATAGTTATGAGACGTTTAAATGTCTTGTGAAATTGTAATGTAATTAATGATAATAACGCTAGTAAAGCCGATATGTGAAGTGAAATAAGTCGGTTTGCTCCGAGTGAAACCGCTAGGACCTCGTTGTTAACGAGGACGAGGAAAGGGAAACTCCTTGAGTCACGATGTCTAAAGCAGGACAAACCAGCGGATACCTCGTCTGCGGGAATGAGAATCGTTGTCGGTGTAGCCAGGACATCGAAAATGAGATGGTTGAATCAAAGAAATGAGGAATTACCATCACCCCAGTTTAGTAACCCTTCTAGTTATATGCAACCTAACTGGCCAGTAGTGGTTGTTATGATTAGGATAGGTTTCGAGTGATCCAGCTACATCAACGTGACCAAAGAGAACATCTGGTAAGTATTGGGATTATCGTACAATGTTTTCCTTGACGGATGTTTCATGTGTGTCCCTACCCCCCCCCCTTCATTCAGGTTAAACTATATAATCTATACAGTCCACAATTAAATTAGTAGCCCCGTACTTGTGGGTGCTATCCAACCATCTGGACTCGGATTACAGTTATGATAAGATTGTGGGCCGTAAGGAATCACTTGCCGCGACCAGGGAGTGATTAAGTTTTCTCACATGTCTACCCGGGGGTGGGTCTACGGTAAACATACAGTTAAGCACTTGGAAATTTTCCACATCTGCCCGCTGGTCTCTGAAACGGATGCAATCAGTGAAAAAATTAATTGAATTAATTACTTAATAATTAAGTGGACTGATTGAAGGAGGTGGGTATAGGGTACACAGTTTAATCGATCGTGTGGTGGATGATAATTAGCCAAATAAATTGCTAGCACATGGGTGGCTCTAGGATTTATACAAGTGTAAAGTGCAAGAATTACTCTTATAAGGGTCTACTTAAAGTAGTATTAATGGGTGATTATTAATTCCCGAAACCATGCTGGGTCTGGTGTGAGGAAGTTAGTTGCGACTGGCAAGTCCATGGGATGCCAAAGCAAATGAAAAGCGTCACTACAAGCTCGGAAGGGTCATGTTACTAAAATTCATACAAGAAGTGTATGGAGTTAATGAAACAAAGAAACGGTAAAACCCTATGAATTAAAGCTGCACCTAGATGCCTTAGGAATAGACATGAGTCATATAAGATTGTGGTTTAAAGACTATGAAAAGGAGTGCTTGCAGAACTGTGCAGATGATGCTGAAGGGAGCGACTGCTAGTTAACATTATGAAGAGAGAGGGACAAACATTGTGTCCTGCAAAACTTAAGGCGTTGGAGAGGTAAAGGGTTGTAAACAATGTTGTTGGTCAACCTAGTTAAGGAAAGTCAGAGGCATCTACAAAACTCCCAGGAAATTATGTATTGCCTGTGTTTAGCCGGGAGAACACTGGGAGGAGTTTTGCGTCTATCTTCAAAGCAGTCGTACCATGATAGGAGTGATCTTGCAAGTGTTACCAAATTCATTGCTATTTAAAGGGACAGGTAAGGGGAGATGCGCATGTTCTCAATACAAGCATTCCAATGTAGATGACTCCTTAGTGAGGCAGGGTTGACTTGTTGGAGGTCACTTACGGTAACTTGGAGCAAAGTAGGCTGGACTAGTAGCTAATTTGGCATATTTGAAAGGACTCCAGATCACAACCGCACCAGTTTACAGCAATTTAGGATCAAATAGAAAGCAACTCTTAAGACTTGAGTAATAAATAAATGGTCTCATTGGAGGGAGAACAAGAGTGGTTTGTTGAGTGCTTTGATTCAGAATATAAATTGAACCACAAGACCATTAGAGTGCGTTATCCTTAACCAGATATCACAAGGGTTATTCAGGTTGGAAGAATAAGAGTGGGATTACAAGAGCTAATTGTCCAACTGCAGAACCAGCCAACCATTACCTCTAGGAATCCACGTTTACAGACCCCAGTGCTCTGCCAAGTTCCACAAAGGGAAACCTTATCCTAATATCAATAATTCTAAGCCACCTACTACACGGGTTACGTAGGCACGTATCAAGTGACAGGTGCCAGTTATAGTGGGTTCTCCACTCCAAGGCAAGAGGAGGAAAGTACCACAATAAGGGTAGCCCAGTTGATAGAGGACAGGCAAGGAATAGGAGAAGATTGTATCTTCTGCAACGGTGCTTCATTTCTCTAAGAACTGTAATGCTTATAATTCATGGGATGTTAAATTGGAAAGGATTGGAAGAGCTGCTAGATGCATCAGGTGTCTAGGAAAGTCATAATGTAGGGATTGCCGTGCTAACTTGCATTGTTATCAGTGTAACAAGGGAAGACCACCACATAGATATGTGTAAGGGCAGATCTATCGTAATGATGGTTACAATAGTACTATGATAGTGATATAACCCGACACAAACAGTAGCCCACGTAAAGATTGCAGCTAACGTCGGTAGTGATGGCTAGCTGAGGTAGCTTTGCCTGTGTTGGATGTTGTGATTAATGGATAACGGCCGTAAATCCAAAAACTGTAAACAGCATTACGGGATCAGGGATCACAACGTACCTTTCATCCAAACGTAACTGCCTTAAGGGGATGAAGGTACAATGGGAGATCCTGCTATACTCAAGCTATCTGGCTTTCTCTCGAATAAGAGGCCCAGTCATACGACACTGTTTATGTAACTGTCCGGGCTGGGCAATGAGAGGAAAAGTATATAATGGCCGTAATTGGGATAGACTCCCAGAGAAAATCTTACAATAGGGTTTGTAACGCTACTGAATGGCTTTCGAGCAAGGTAGAAATTTAGGCAACCTTCCGGTATAAATAATGATTCGGTTTGGGGCCAATAGATATTTTGCTAGGTAGTGGACCATTATGCCACCTTTGTAAAGTGTTTATGGACCAAGAAGTGCGGAGTCACCCTTCTAGGACGCCGGAGGTCACGTGATGTATGGCAGGCTTCCTCGTACCGAAAATGAATGATGGAGGAAATCCCATTAATACGGGTTACGGTGTGTCTTACTCATGAAGTATCACCCCAGTATAAAATATACTTCAATTGAGGGATGAAGTTGGAACTGGTATAAATTATGGTGAATTGGACAGCATAGGGGATCAAGTAAAATGAAGAAAGGTCCAAGATGATTCCTTTACTCAAGAACAATACCAGAAGATGTTAAATTTGAATCTGGGACAATACTGGGTGGAGACTTCCGTGGAAGCTGGAACCATCCAGACCTACCTGGAACTAATTTACCGGATGGCGTATGGACAAATTAAAGGCTCAGCTCCACGAACTGAGCAAGACACCAGAAAACTGGATTGACCTGCTTACGATGATTATGGTATTAATGGCAGTTAAATATAAATTCATGTAGAGGAG